TCCTCAGGGATGAGGACAGAAGTGGAAGAACTGTAATACTGAAAGGGCACAAACAAACAGACATTCAGTGATTCTACCATTCTATGAACAGAAAGGAGTAAGTTATGGAACACAAAGGTTAGCATCCTGTCAGAGCTGTAATTCTTCAAGCAACACAGCAGTGGCAACCCTGATTCCAGACACTGCAGGAACAGTGATGCTGAAGAGGACGGGTCTCACCTGGATTCTGGCACACCACCCATTACAAGCAAAAACCAGAAAAGTAAATCATGTCCCATGAAGTTAGTGCACAGCAGAACCATGACACCAACCAACCACAGCTTTTCTGCTTCTCATTTAAGGCTACGAAAGGAGAACAGAATTGGACAAGTGGCTGCAGAGCGCAAAGAGAAGGAAGCAGGTATGTGACAGACACAGCTAATCTGGAACACCAGAACAGAAGCTGAGGTGCAAACCAGAAGGACACAAGCACTGACTCTGAAGAGGAAGGCTTGGTAACAAAAGGAAATCAAGAGTATGTAAGAAAGGGGCAAAGCAAGGCTGTACATGGCTTCCAGACTCCAGCAATTCCAAGCTATCAGGTTCCTGCTTGCCCTGATTTATTCTCTCCTGTCTCTGCATTTCTTCCGCAGGAAAAGGGACTCCCTTCTTTGTCAGATACTCAGCAATTTCACACCTCCACTCCCCTCTGTGTCACTGACAGATGAACCCATGCTGTAAGACACTGTCATCAGAGGACAAAACTCTCAAGATACAAAGGGATAACTCGGAGATACTACAGCATGCCTGAAAGTCCCCTCTATTTTCACATCCCAGTGTGCAGATCCAGGCTTGGTACAGAATCAGACTCACAGAGTGGTCTGTGTTGAAAGAGACCTTCAGAGATCATTTAGCCTAAACCCCCTTTCACCTTTCACCAGGTTGCTCCAAGCCCCTCTGTCCAACCTGACCTTGAACACAGACAAGGATGGGGAAGCCACAGCTTCTCTGGGCACCCTGTGCCAGAGCCTCACAGCCCTCATTGTAAAAAATGTCTTCTTTATGTCCAATCTAAATCTACCTTATGGTGTCCTTGGGGACCCCTAACTGGTCTGGGGCCAAAGGCAGCAAATGGCTTTAATCCATGTATCAAATCACATTTTCCTGGCTCACCACTAGCACAGGAGAAGCTAAAGCAATCTGCAGGAAAAGCTACTCTTGGCACAACCTCAGAAACCAAGGTGACCAGCTAAGGTTTTGCAAGCAATTCTGACCTGGTAGCACTTGCTGCCATTGCCCTTTTGCTTTCCCAACAATGCATCTTGTCAGAGTGCCCTTTTGCAGACGCTGAAAATAAAGCAGGAAGATGCCAGTCTAGTTGTTCATCCCATTCCACAACTGGTTCATCATCTGCTCCCAAAAACGCCAGACATTCCCAGGCAACTGGTTTGCCACACTTACGCTTGAACAGGACTTTGCTTCAAGGGGCAAATACTAGGAAAGGAAACCTAAAGCAGGGATTAAAAAAGGGAAGAAAAAGGGGGGAAAAAAAAAGCAAACACACACACGCACTCCCCCCGCATAAGACAGGCCATTATTTCTGACTGACTTGGAAGCACTTAATTCCCACGCTACAGAGGCTCACCCACAGGAGATTTATTCCCTCACACTAGTAGCAGAGGTCCTCACATGGATTAGATTATGGCAAAGCATTTGATTTACATTACGTCAGTGACTAAGTAAAATACACTGATGAAAAGCAATCACTGATCAAGCTCCTGGACTTAGCTCCAGTGTTCACAGTGATGTTGCTGGCTTTTGTTACCTATTAGCGTGTGGATATCATCCGGAATCTGGTGTTGAGATGAGCTAATGATTAAAGACAAAAAGCAGAACAGAAGAAAGCAGTTGCAGCAGGTCTTCTTCACAGTATGACACGGCTCAGAGCTCCCCATATTAAAATACTTCCCATCTTGGACCACTGGCTTTCTACCATCACACATGCAAGCCTCACCAAATATTAATTCCATTTCTCTGTTACAGTTCCACCCTTTCCCTCTCATGCTGCCGCAATCATTGATGCCAGAACAGCCTAAGCTGATACCTCACCCCAACCAAAACAAGCACACTTAATCAGTCGCGTATCTAAGGGAAGCAACAAGACCATTACCATGAGAGCAGCAGATACTTCTAGTGTTGCACCCTGCCTCCACCAGCTGTACCAGGAATCCTCAGGAAAATGTTGGCAAGAACCAACACCACCAGATTATCCTCCCAAAACAAGGAACTCCTTCATTCTCCTTTCAGCCCCAGCACACACCTGCGCAGGCAGACACAACCACTCATGTTAACCAACATGCCAACCCTGCTAGAGATGCTAAACTTTCCAACTTGAGAAGGATCCTTCTCCCTCTTCCCTCAGAATAACCACAGCCAACCTTGTTTACGAAATTGAGGAAAGGTAAGGGGACAAAAGGTATAGAAAAAGTGCTCCTGGCTTGCTCTTCCCCCTATACCACCACCTCTTCCAAGAGCAACTCTTGTCCCTGCACCATGCTCTGAGGAAACCAGGCAGGCTTTTCAGGTCTCTTCTACTGATCCAGCCAGCCACTACCCTCTCTTAAACAGTAAGGGGGGGGTACAGACATGTGGAGCCACAAGCCAATGTCACCACCTATTCTTCCTTAGTTTTCCAGCAATAAGCAATCTCTCAACCTCACACATCCTTCTAGGCCAGCTCCACATCTGACAGCTTCATAGTTAGCAGAAGGCACTCCAGCTCACGGAACTTTGGTGCTCAGGCTCTGTCAAGACAAAAGTTGGGCCCCTTGTTCAAGCACAAAGCCAAAATGTGGAAGACCAAGTGGGGAAAGGAACATGGCAGGATAGTAGAAGGACAGTCAAATATTTTACCCAGAAATACCTTTGTGCTGCAATGCCATGAAAGCATTACCAGCATGCAGTAAGATGCTGGCTTTCTGGGAACTACACCTCCAAAAGCAGAGGGATGCAGGATCTAAGGAGGAGAGATAAAAGAGCAAAAACCCACAGCAACCAGCAGAGTAACCGAGAGCGTTTCCTGTCAGGTCCAACCCCTGTAACTGATCCCTTGTTTCACTTATGCCCTGCAAGCCTCTGTAAGTCCTCACTGATGTTTTCCTGGCTGTCCCTAAAGTGTCACAGCACAAGACCAGACTGTAACACAAAACAGATACCAGTAACCTTAGATAATGTGAAGCAATCCTAGGAGTGCACGCACACACACAGGAGGACAAAGATACCACCTTTCTCAACTGCCACACATTCCTGGGCAGAATAAAATCCTCAGCTGTGAAAAGCACAGGAGACAGAGAAATACAGCCTACCTACAGTCTGCCAAGTTGACCTTCTCAGAGCTTGAAATGCAAGTGGGAGAGAGACATTTTTTTGTCTTGCTATTAAATCTAAAAATAACAATGTGTAGGAGAATCCTACCCTCCTGCCCTGTGCACAGAGCTAATGGGGGTGGGAGGAAAGTGGGGATGAGGGTTGGAGTCAAGTTGAATTTGCTGCTGAACAGGCCCTCAGCTGACCAGGGATCCCAGGAGACAAAGCAGAGCCTGCCTAGAATCTCTTTTCTAACTCCAGGGTGTCTGCTATTGTATGCACAGCCTAGTTACAGTTCACTGACTTAACACAAAAAATGAATTGATTTCCATAATGAAAAGGCCTCCACATGGCTCCAGAATGATACAAAAAGAAAGGGCAGAGCAGCTTGGGAAGATTTGAGAACAAAATCAAACCACTTTTTGCCTCGTTGAGCTGCAGTTTTGGGCCCCCAGACAAACAGCTATTTTTAGCTGATCATCTGGAAAGTGCAAGGCAGCACAAAGCATTGGGGTCAGCATCACTGCAGGCAGCCAGCACACAGCCTCAAGAGAGGGTTAAATGTAGTCACACACCACACATCTGCATCATCAGCACTTGCAGAGGGACCAGAGGCACAGAGCTATTTATAAAGCAGATCTGTGCAGCTGCAGCCTGCAGTGAAAGATAAGGACTGCAGGCTGTCAGCCCTCAACATGCTCATTTAATTAAAGAGATGGCTATGTTTACGTGCACACATGTATGCACACATGTCCTTTTCCCAGGAGAGGTACAAACAATGAGCTCAGTGTTGGAAAACAAGGCATTTCACAAAGGTTTCTGTGTAGAGGGCAAGCACCCCCAGCAAATGCGTCCTCGCACAACCTTCCCATTCCCCGACACTGTGACTAAATGTGACTGATGGGCTGTGGCCACTGGAGCTCAGGTAACCGCTAGCCTTGAGGTGGTTACTGGGTTGCTTTGTAGCCCTGGACAGGAAAACAAAGTCACTGTAGTGGTATTAATCTGCATGGAAAGAAGAGATTCGGTTTGTAAGCAAGGTATTTGTCAGTCTCATGTCTTCTGCATCAGGACAGATTTGTGTGCCATCAGTTTCCATTTTGAGATGAAACGGAAAACCAGTTTCAGACTCAAAGCCCTGTCTGCCACTAAGCAGGGTGCATTTCCTTGTGGGATTAGAAAACAATACCCTCTATCACCACCTCACCATTCCCACTTTACTCCCCGTAATCCTTGGCGAGCTGAACTCTCCTGCCAGAAGACCTAGAAACAGCAATGGACAGGAGAAAACGGGTGGCAATCAGCCTGCTGTGGATAAAGCACTACTGATGCACAACAAGCAACTAGCTGGCAAAACAGAGTATGAATGGCAGCTGCTGGTGAGGCAGAAGCAGCTGCGGAGGAAGCCTGGAGATCAGCTCACAGCCTGGGCTCTGCTGTCCTCTCAGCCCCTGAGGACTAGGAGCCTAATTCCCCACCCCACACATATGCCATTCTGCTTCCTCCAATGCCAAACAGAAACCTGTTGGAAAAGCTCCTGCAGGAACACAGGGAGCTGTGGTTTGGGTTCAGTTCTGACAGCCACTGCAGAATACAGTCCTCGGTGTCTTTGCTCAAAACTTAACCAGGCACTCATTCACAATACAACAACAAACCTGTTCTGGAGGAAATGATGCTTCTGGAGTCCAAGTCAAGGTTCTTGACAAGTGTATCAGGGTCAATCTTCAGCCCGGAAAAAACACCAGAAGGTGAGAAGTCCCAGTCCTTACCCAAAAGAAACATGAAGCAGGAGTCAGTACAAATACCACAAGACACATTCACTAAAACAAAAACGAACCCCAGCACCTTCCAGACAGGAGGGTGCCTCTGAGCAGGCAGGGGTAGGTAAGTCACCCCACTGGCCAGAACCCCGCAAGCTCTTCCACACAGAAGGAAGCTTCACAAAGTCATGCTTCAGACTGTCTTATTCCTAACAGATACCTGCCTCAAACCAAGCTCACCTGAATTCTGGTCTTAATGTGAATGGTATCCTTAGGAAAAGCCAGATTTATTACAGGTGAATGACAATACAAATAAGCAACAAATGAGCAGATTAGGGGCCTAAATCCTAAATCAGTGGACATTAAGCAGATTCAGTGACTACCAGCAACTTAACCAAATCTTCAGAATCCAGTTCCTTTAAGCACACAATAGCTCTCTAAGTCCTAAGCTTTGCAGTAGCTTCTCTGGTTGGCTTGGAATTGATTACTTTAGTTAGCTAGCACTGACACATAATTCATAGTGGTACAAAACCAGCTGTATATGGCACAGTCTGTTCCTCCCTGTTTAAAAGGAAAGCTGTAGGTGCACAAAAAGCATTTACTGCTGTTCTGCGTCCTTGCTGCTGGGAGACTGGGGGAGGCAACCAGCTTTAGCCTTAACTGTGTTATTAATAACACAGCTGGTGAAGCCAGACATGGCCCAAATCTCCTAAACGACTGTGTATAAACTGTGTGTAAATGACTGTGTATAAACAGCTCATGTCCACCTGCCCTAATCTGGAACTGAAGAGAACCAGCACAAAATGAGCCAGGCAGGTCTAACCCCTCCACTCCCAATGCATGCTGATGGCTGCCATAACTACCAGCACATGGCACATCCATCCCCATGCCTGATGCTGAGAAGCATGCTGGGAAGCTGGTGGTGCACAAGCAGGACCTTGCACTAGAGCTCTGAAGCTTCAGGCTCCCTTGTTCTGCCTGCTGTGACCAGCAGTGTCCTTAATCACCATGAGAAGTGTGTTGACAAGTGGTGTGAGGCCCAGCACAGTGCCACAGCAGCTTCAAGGCCACAAGCACAGCACTGAGGGTGTGACTTTTCGAAGCAGGAAAAGGAGACTAGGCTTCAGGAAACAATGTCACAGAATGGTTTGGGTTGGAAGGGACCTTAACACTCATCCTGCTCCAACCCCTGCCACAGGCAGGGACACCTTCCACTAGAGCAGGGTGCTCCAAGCCCCCGTGTCCAACCTGGCCTTGAACACTGCCAGGGATGGGGCAGCCACAGCTTCTCTGGGCACCCTGTGCCAGCACCTCAACACCCTCACAGGGAAGAGCTTCTGCCTAAGAGCTCATCTCAGTCTCCCCTGTTCTGGCAGGTTAAAGCCATTCCCCTTGTCCTGTCCCTACAGGCCCTTGTCCAAAGCCCGTGTCACCATTTCAGTTAACTCCTGCCCCTATGAAGACTGCCAGCTCCCACCAACGCTTCACCATGTCCAGGACCAAAGGGCACCCTCAGACACCCTGCGAGGCCACACCAGGGCACCCGCGAGGCTCCTGCGCCCGTGGCAGCCGCCGTGCGGAGATTCCAAGAGCTCAAGGACCGAACAGAGCTGCGGCCTTCCCGGTGCAGGCGGGGGAGCACGGCCTCAGCCGCCGGGATACACCCATCCGTCGGGATAGGCGATACCACGGCCCCACGTGTCACCACCCCGCTCCCCGTTACCTTGCCCGCCGCCGCATTCCAGCCGCCGGGGCCGGGTTGGGGCTCGGGCAGCGGCAGCGGATCCTTGGCGGGCCAGGGCCGGGGGGCGGCGCGGTGCAGCCGCGGACGTTTGACCTTCCCCACCATGGCGGCGGCGCGGCGGAAGGAAAGAGGCGGGCAGGCCTGAGCTGAGCCCCGCCTGCTGCGGGGCGGCCCCGACCGGGGAGGGCTGGAGCCGGGAGGCGGCCTTGCGTCCCTGGCAGTGTTGAAGGCCAGGTTGGACGGGGTTTAGAGTACCCTGCTCTAGTGGAAGGTGTCCCTGCCTGTGGCAGGGGTTGGAACTGGGTGAGCTTTAAGGTCCCTTCCAACACAGACCATTCCATGAACCCGGGAAGCACACGTGTAGCTGCCCCAGCCAGGCCACCCTGCAGCTGGTAACTCTGAAACCTAATGGTGGCATCTTAAGTGACACCGGTCGCTTTGGAGGGCAGCCTGGGGGTTAATCACCTTCAGGCCTCCAGTGGCTCCTGGAAACAGCCAGGGGGTGTCAACCAGTGTGGTTGTGTCAAATCTAGAGGCTCTACAACACAGTTAAGATCTGGTGTAAGCCCCTGAAAGAGCTGAGGCCTCTTGGTAGCCCTAACTGGAGACCAAGGTGCATGGCAGGACAAGAAATGAACTCTGAAACACACCGCCAGAAGTTATGTCCATAGTTAGAACAGCAGAAAAGACGTGACCAGCCCCTCTGGGCCCCAGGCACGTGTCTGACCATGCAGGCACGGATGGACCAGGTGGAGACCCCTCACAAAACAGCCTCAGCCCTACCTGCACCATTCCACGCACACAAAGGGGTGAAAGTCATCCTAATGCTGCTTGCTCCAGCCCTGGCTTGATCCTGCTTGGACATCGTGCTGTGTGTGGTTGTGAAAGCATGGACACAATGTTAGAGTAACTGCTCATTGGCTAATAGTAGTAAATGTAGTAGTAATGTGGTAAATATGCATAATTTTAACCCATCATGCTAAGCACTGATATGCTGGAGGCAGGGCATTTCAAAACACACAATGTGTTAAGGGTCCTATGGGAATTGTTAGGGATAATGCTTTGTTGTGGACATCCATTCAAGGCCAAAGCTGCAAGACAGCATGAGGAACAGCTCAGGAGGAACTGGGAGTACTCCAGCAAGCTTCAGCCTTGGGCCCCAAGAGCCCATGAGGTACCCATTCTGCTCCGTTGCTCCCGCTCAGGAGGCTCCCAGCTCTCCCACCCTTCCATCACGGCCAGTGCTTTGACAAACCTGATGGAACAATTGAACAGAGCAGCCCGATAAAGACCTTACACAATACAAAAGGGAAAATTACCGCAGCTCATCTCACTCAAGCACATTTTCTTCCCCTAGACCTGCAACCAGCAACACCTGCGAGAAGCCCCACCAGTTTTCCCAGCTTCACCCACTCCAGGATTAGGGGTTTATGGCAGCATCCAGCTGCAGCCACGGTTCCAACCCAAACCATCCTATGGTTCCTGGCAGGGCTGTCCTCAGCTCCATCCCCACTGTATGCCATGCCAGCCAGGCAAGAGCTGCTCCAACACTCCCATCGTGCTGCAAGAATTGCTATGACGGTCTCTTGCTACAACCAGCACCTTGGCTGCAATAAAACCAGGCCAGAGCTCTGTTGTCAAAGCCTCTGACCCACGGGGCATCCATCAGGGCTCAGAATCACTGCTAGCACTGTGATGCTCTGCCTGCTGCAAAGATAAACGCAGCTCCATAACTAAGGCAAGCAGCCAGTAAACTGCATTGGTGTCTTACAATGCATTGTGGACACTCAATGTTAGCCTGCTGGAAGGGGAACCTAAAGAGCAGTTAACAAAAGGTTCACATTAACTACCTTCAAAAAGCCCCCAAAACTACAATCCTGTACATTTCCTAAATAGCTGGTTTCTCTCTACTTAGGGAAGTGTTGGTAAAGGTGTGTTGGAGGAGTTATTGCAGCCTGCACAACACAATGTGAAGGCTGCTTAAAGAAAACCCCACACAGCCCTGAGCTGTGCCACAGCAAGAAGGGTTCCAGCATCCTCTTCCAAACAAGGAGACCTCACTACCCTGGCAGTGAGCCCTGACACATGGAGAGCCAGCTCCCCATCTTCTTCGCACCCAGGAACCAGGTCCCAAAGGAGTCAGTTTCCCTTACTACCAGCTTTACTTGTTCACTGGGGGCCCATGCTGGTGAAAGGTTAAAAGTGGGGCAAAAACCAGGGCGTTTTGGTAGGGTCCATGTCCAAGGTGAAGGAGGAGAGCTGCAGACCCCCCAGTGCAGCTCAGGGGAGAGATGAGCCCCAGCACTGGGGGGCAGGATGCTTTCACAGGGATTTGATTGGGTTTTGGAGGGGAACGCACCCTCCCACACCCACTGCTCTGACTTCCTCCTTTCAGCCCCAGCCGACTGTAAGAAATAGGAAGGAAGGATTGGGGTGTGTTGCAAAGCTCCCGATGCCCCTCTGCTTTTCCCAGCCAAGCTCGAGAAGGTGAGACCATCCCTATCCCAGGTGAAGCACGGGACGGAGCAGAGGGCTTGATGCAAGGTAAGTACAGCATCTCCATTTCTTTGCTTCTGTTTCTTCTTTCTGTGGGGGGTGGAAAGCAGCCAGGCAGCAAGGTGCTTTGGTAGCTCTGGTGTTTCCAGTGGATTTGGGTTATAATTCTTGATCTAACCTCTGGCTGCTTAGATGGGCTTTGGGAGCACAGCATGGTGTCTCTCCCACCTGTGGCATGGTGTGGCTGTTGCTGTGAGCAGCCTTTGCAAAAGCAGCTTCTCTGTGCTGTAATAGTTTTGGAGGTAGGATTAAGCATAGAACTGCAGGTAGTTATCGAGGAGAGGGTGTCAGACCCCAAACAACTCCTTCATCACCACCCCACAGGACTGGAAAGCAGAGCAGAGAGGGTGCAGCATGCTACCCCGTCACCCTCACGCATGGCCCTGGGGAGAGCAGCGCTGCCTGCGTGCCCACCAGCAGCACCAGGCAAGCACCAGGGCTGGGGGCTGCACTGGCTCCCCTCCCAGGACATCCCTCTTCCTTGTGGGATCCCATACAGGCACTCACCATCAGCTGCAGGATGTGACGGCTCAGAGGGGAAGAGGGAAGCGGCGTGGTGACATGGCGCGAGCAGGGCTTGGTGTGGTGCCACCATCAGCACGGAAGGTCCCTGCACCCCTGGGGGCCTGCAAGAAGAGCTGGGAGAAGGGATGAGACCCTCTCTCCTCTCCTCCATCTCTCTGTGTGCTGTACACATGACATACCTTGCTGACACCATTGAAAGCAGTGGTGGGAAAGGCAGCAGAGGCTGCAGGCAAGCTAACCCCAGGGACAGCAGGTCCTTCCCTAAGTCTCCATGGCTCTCGGATGCAGACAAAATGCGGGGCACAGCCCAGGGCTGGGGAAAGCAGCCTAGCATCTACATTGGATGCTTTTCCCAACACCACAGCCGCAGGTCATGTCCTCGCAGGCAAATGTGTGAACACGAGAAGAGGCTTTGCACCCTGCAGGCAGTGTGGGTGCTGCTATGTGGCTCCTGCAAGGTGTGGGAAGGCTTTAAGCAGTGCATTTTGCTGTCACGGTTCTCACATCCTGCTTTACAGATTGGTTTTGCACTTTTTGTGTCCTCATCCTGCTGCTGTTCTGTCACAGGCAATCTCAGTGCTGGAGAGTGTGGCGCAGGGTGATGTATTTTCTCAGAGACAGACATAATCAGGTCACCACAGGACTGGTGACAGAGGATCCCTCCTTTGCTCCCAGGAAGCATGAGCTTTGCCAGCTCCAGGGGACAGGCTGTGCCCTTAGGCAGGTCTCTGGGTCCCTGCTCAGGCCCAGGACTCTGTCCTCCATCTCTGCAAACCATCACAGCGTGCCCACTGGGATCATTCAAGGGGTGATGCCCACAGGAGACGAGACACAAGAAATGGCTTCTCTGCTCTTAAAAATCCCAGACTGGTTTGTTTTGAAAGAGACCTTAAAGCTCATCCAGTTCCAACCCCTGCCACAGGCAGGGACACCTTCCACTAGAGCAGATTGCTCCAAGGTTTCTTGTAGGTTGCCTCTCCAGGTTTCTTGCAGCCCCTTTAGGCACTGGAGCTGCTCTGAGGTCTCCCCTGAAGGAGCCTTCTCTTGTCCAGGCTGAACCAGCCCAGCTCTCTCAGCCTGGCTCCCGAGCAGAGCTGCTCCAGCCCTCCCAGCATCTCCGTGGCCTCCTCTGGCCTCACTCCAACAGCTCTAAATGCCCCAGAAGTCCTGCGACACCGAGCATAAGAATGCATCCTCCCATTGTGCAAGAAAACAGATGTTTAGCAAAGCACTGCAGGGGTGTTGTGGCTAACAGACTGCAAGACCTGTCTCTGCTGTTGAACACTCATCTTATTTATAGCAACAGGATTGGCACTACCATTCACGCTTCCCCTTCAGCCCTCTCTATACTCACTCCTTCATGATGCCCAGCAGCATGCTCCATCCCACTGACACCCACTGGAGTGTTCAGTACCTTCTCTGAGGTTGCCTTCGCATTTTCTGGCTCACAGACCCTTCAGGAGACTCTTGCCCTGCCTGAGCCGTGCCAAGTATGTAACATGCAACAAGGGAGAGATGCTCCACAGATGGAGAGCCCTGGTGGCTTCCACAGAGGACTCCTGGTGAAGCAGAGGCCCAGTCCCAAGCTGCCCAAGGCATGTGGTGCAAAGATCAGAGCTCAGGGCCAAGGAAGACACCATGACCCATGCAGGTACCAAGACAGATACCAGGGCCTGGTAGCACCATGCCCTGCCCCTAGCAGGGGTGCTCAGTCTCAGCACCTTTCTCCCTAGCCTGGGATGAAGTAGGTTGTAGAGCTCTGCAGTTCTGCTCCTTCACACCAGGGCAGGAGGATGGACTATGTGCCTTAATATGTGAAAAAGAGGAAGAAAACCCAAGATCCCAGATGATGAAGAGCACATCCAGAAGAGCCCCCATCAAGAGAGCTGGAGAAAATGCTGCTGAGGCCTATATGTGGGCCCTGCTAATGCAGACTCAGATTAAAAACCTGCTTTCTCCAGCCTGAGCACTGTAAGGAGGCAGACAAAAGCAGAAGCCCTACTTGCTCTCTTTGAAGGTCACCCTACGTCATGGGCCACCCACATACCAG